TTCCCTACAGTCACTATTACAAATTGAATATAGGATAGCTTCATCCTAACCCATTATTGGGACCTTGTAACCAAAATAAATATGCCAGCAATTTGATATTTTACTTGCACAATAGATGCTGTAAATAAAACAGAATATATATCTGCAGATTTAGGTGTCTCTTCTTTCCCCTTATGCTTTTCAATATGTGCTACTTGGCCTAAGAGAGGTCTATTTATTATATTTCTTTTTAACACTTTTTTGGGTAAGGTTTTAGATTGCATGCATCATTGTGCTAGCAGGATTACAAATTTAAAATAAACACACAGAATCTTCTTTTTTCCTTTTGTCTGTTTTCCATTTCTCAGAGAAATATACTATGAGTACCATCACTGACAACAGTGGGACCATTCATAAACTAAAGCACCTACCCTACTTAATACGAGGTTAATTTTGCTCTACAGTTATTCTTCTTTCACGTCTCTAATCTGACAGTGAAAGGACGAATCCTTTTTTAGTATCTGTACTGCCCCTGACATTAATGGGAGATGTCTGTGCTTGGCAGGGATTTACTAGTTCTCGAGACTGGGGCCAAGGCCTGCTTTTACCTAACTCAGTGGATGTTGGATGGAAGCCATGGCTGATGGAGATGCTCGCTGGCAGGAACTGCAGAGAAAATGCAAATTCTAAATGCAGTGAAGGCTGAATCAGAAGCGTAAAACGTCTTAGTAAGACAGCTGTTAGTAAACTGAGCTAGTATCTTCTCCAAACTGTGCTACAAGTTTAAGAATAGCTATGATTCCAGGTCTCTATTTTTTTCCCTTTTTTTTTTTTTGAAACTGGTAGTATCAGGTGTCTGAGGAAGAAAGCTCTTACTTGATTCACAACAGCAATTACAGACTAAGCCATACTAGTGGCATTTTAAAGAGAACCTGAGGAAGACCCAGGTGTACATTCACTCTTGGATGTTGTTTTCCTCATTTCAATTGCACCTCATCCCAAATCTGCCTTATGTCAATAGCAGTTCTGCATCTTACACAGTGTGCAACACCGGTTCATTTCCACTGCAATGTGATCTTTTGTTTTGGCATAGCTTTATGATGTATATCCTTAGAATGCTCTAGAGGAAATTTGAATAAAGGTGTGTATCGTACATAGATAAACTTCTTCAAAACCCCCTCTGCTAAGCGATTTTTTTTTTTCTTTTTCACAGGAGTCTCTTCTTCTGACTCTGAAGGTGAAATCATCAAAGACGAAATGGATCAGTAAGTTTAAAATCAATTACATCTTCCATATTTCTTACAGTGAAAAAAACCCCACAAGTGTAGACATTTCAGTTTCCATTAGTATTTTGCGACTTTCAACACATTAGGCTTTTGTTTGGGATTTGTTTGAATTGTTTGGGTTGGGCTTTGTTTGTGTGTGTGTTTGCTTTGCAAACAGTATGGAACAAAGACACATTTGCTTGCGTGTCTTTAACTTTAGCTTAAGAATTGAAACTTTAATATTAAATATAAACATAAGAAGAAATATGTTACCTTAAAGATTAAACTACTAAAATTAATGTACTAAACCAGATGCCATTTGACTAGACCCAACTTAAATGCTGATTTAAGCGTCTGACTTGGAAAAACAGTGTAGTAAAAATTCTTACATGAAAATATGGTATGGTATGTCATGAAGTTTTTGGCAGAAGACGGCTACACATGGATTATCTAGATTTAAGATAAGGAAATTAATACGTATGAACTGAAGTAAACCGAAATGATGAGTATAAAAGACTACTTAATTATAAAAAGAAAGAAAAGGTGTCAGATGTAATCTAAAACCTGGGCAATAATTTTATTTTTCCTACATGATATCCATTCCCTGTGCATTTAGGACCTGATCCAGTGCTGTTAAAATCTGTAAGTCTTTCAGAATCAAAGCCTTTCTGTTAACTGGAAAGGGAGTCAGACTAAAATAATCAGTCTTTTATTTTGAACTCCTTTGTATGCATTAATTCAACCCCAAAAGCAACCAGTGCTATATAAAGAGGAAATTTTAATCAGATAGACTTATGCACCCTGGGTTTTTTCCATTATTTATCAAGGAGGGTTATAGCCATTACAAATGTAATTTTCTTTCAAAATGCAAATACAAAACACTGCAGTATGTTTGACTGAAGACCTCAGGCTGACAGCAGATCCTGTCTTAGGTGATTTTTACTTCAAAGTCATAAAATACTCCAGATTGGATTGGCTTATGGACTTTGACAAATGCAAAGGTTTAATATAAAACTTAAGATCAAGATCTCAAAGGTTTTGGGATGAATTGCCAAGTTTTTTGTAGTTCTAGCTCAGACTTTTCCAAATGTCTCAGGCATAATGTTTTTTCTTACTCATCTCATTAGGTGTTAATGTAGTATTGACCATGATCCTGATCACTTGATGCCATCTCTAATGCTTACCTCATTAAATTGTGAAGTAATGTGTTGCATTCTGTATTTCTTAGAAAAAAAAGAATGCTGCTCTGACATTGTAGCGGGATGTCCTCAAATGACAGAATTATGAAAGATAAGGCTTGGGCATAATCAGTGTCTTTATTTTTGCTTCGCTTCCAGCTGTCGTTACATGAGTCTGAACACCTGTAATTAAAGGGAATTAATATGAGAACATGTGCAAAAAAAAGTTCACAATTTCAAAAGAGAAATCAGTGATCACAACAACTGTTGTTCACTCTGAGTGTTCACTCTGAGTAAGGCTTCCTCTGGTTTGGAGGCTGGCTTTCCTGGGGGGACCTGTGGTACATTCCAGAGCAGCCAGTGCATACCTCAAACTGAATAAAAAGACCATCTCTTCATTGTCTGCATTACTTTACTTAGCAATAAAAAAAAATAGGGTCAACTCTTTTACGTCCATATAGAAACAACCTAGAAGAAGTGAAGAGGTGCCAACTTATACACTACCAAAATGCAATATATATTGGTCAGAAAGCATACCTCTCTTTTATTTTTTCCTCCCCCCAGCAGTAAATTATTGAATCTGTATCCAAGCAGACCATGGTATTTTTGTTACCTTATAGGCCCAAAACTTCATACAAGCTTGGGTAGCAGTGCAAGAGAAACTAGCATTGTCCTCTGAGAAATTAGCATAGCGCTCTCGTGCTGCTCAAGAGCTGGTAACAGCGGCTTTCAAGCCACAGCTGGGTTAATCCGGGCCATTTATTACATCTGGTGTAACTGAACTAAGTATGAGAGATTAGAGCGGCAAGGCACTCTAATCAAGCATTGGAGCAGGCTGCCCAGAGAGGTGGGGGAGTCCCCATCCCTGGAGGTGGTCAAAAAACGGGCAGACATGGCACTTTGGGACATGGTTTAGTGGGCATGGTGGTGTTGGGTTGATGGTTGGACTGATGATCTTAGAGATCCTTTCCAACCTTAATGATTCTATTCCAGTTTTACGTTCATTAAAACATAATCCAGCCACCAAGCCAGGAAACATGAAGTTGCTACTCTACCCTTAATTGGTTTAGTGGTGGACTTGGTAGTGTAGGTTAATGGTTGGACTTGATGATCTTAAAGGCCTTTTCCAACCTAAACGATTCGATGATTCTGAGGTATGCAGCCTGATTCTTATAAAATGCAGTTTACCTAGGAGTATGTATCAGTTTAGATCAACTGGAATTCAATCCCAGAAGTGAGGCTGGGGTTGACATGTAACTGGGACAGACATAACTAAGGGACACACACATAGCTCTAGCTTCCATTTAGAGAACTTGTTTTTGGTTAATATTTCACAGCAAACCCAAGCCAGCTGACATCTCCTTGAATGCAGCATCTCCTGCTGTTAGAACTGCAACCAAGCATCAAGAAACCTCCAAGGCACCATCTCAGCCTGTGTCTGTACCTGTCCGGCCTGTGTCAACACTCGTTAATCAGGTAGGGGGGACAATATGGTGAATTTCCACGACCAAAAGCAATCTCTTAAAGCAGTGTTTCTTCTACAGTTTGTGACTCTGAACCCCCAAATTTTCTAGTTTTTGCTTTGCTGTTGAACTTCAGCTTTGAACCTTACAGCCATACAGTAGTTGCATGCACAGAAGAGGTGCCCTGCCTACTAGCTAACCTTTAGCACCTGGCAAAGGGAAGGGAACCTTTCATCCCCAGGTTACAGGCATCTCTGCGGCAGTGAGCAGAAGGAGCAGCTGCCGCTAGCTCAGCCAGCGGCGGGAATCCGTGTGCGCTCCAGCAGGTCAGAGACTGCATGCCGTGAAGGGCACTGGGATGTGTAAGTCAACTCACTGGCCTCTTCACATTGCAGACTGACTCATTCACTTTCAATAGCGGCAGCCTATAACTTTTTCCTCTCCCTTTCTACAGAACTCACTTGAAATCATCTTCTTTCAATGAAACTTATTTTAAGCTAAATCATTTCACTACTATGCTTACTTTATATATAGAAATGCTTATTTACCATGTAACATTTTAATATCCATATCAAAGACTTTCTAATTAAGGTTAGCATGCATTTTGAGTCCTTTTTGTTGCAAACTATCAGAATATTCATAACTGTGAATTCTTACCCAATAGGAAAGAAGAGCCATATTTAGTTAAAAATAAAACTGAAAAGTTAATGAGAAACTTGCTTTACACTGCCTTTTCAATGTTTACAGCCTAGAATTAGGTGGTAAGCAATAAACAGATGCTGAATAGGTGAAGTAATGCACGTTTCCTTTTGACTACAAAGAGAATAGAACTAAGCCTTTGTGACATTTTGCCATTTTGACAGAGGCTGACTAAGTCAAGAGTGATAGTTATCTCAAAAATTACCACTTTTAATCTTGTTGGTTTATAAGACACCATCTATAAAATTTGGCTATGTTTCCTGAGATACTGAATCACTAATACTGCTCTTCTGGGGCAGCTTCTATTTCACTAAAATAAAAAACTCTATTAATCAAGTTATATAAGGAAGTTTTCCAGGAGGAGAATAATTTCATTCCAATTTCACTAAGTAGGATCAATAGGGTGATATTCCACCTCTGTAAATTGTTTGGGTTTGGCAAAGGAGAAGAATTACAGTAGCAGTCACACACATGACTTGACTTAACTTTTCCTTATTAACATCCATAAATATTTTGCAAGTAAGAATTTTTAACAGGAGACTACCACCAAGCAGCCTACATAGATTTGCCTTAGTGAAGTATTAATGACAGATGTTATCACACACTGCAGTGAAGTTTTCCTTGCCATGATTAACTCAATAAGGCGATAACAGCATTTTTGTTACTCAGGCAGTAACCCATCCAGGAAGATCGCTACCAGTTGTCTACAACAGAGCAACTTTTATTCATTGTATTAAACATTTTGCTTTGGACTTCACCCACCAAAATCTCTTTTGTGTCATTCCAAGAGCATGTTTCTCCTGTATATGGAAAAATATCCTCTGTACACCTAAACATCATCATGTGATGTTTTGCAATCTACAGGCTCAAAGCCCCACTAACTATTTGCAAGGACTGGATGGAAGACCTATAATTGCTGCTCCTGTATTTACAAAGGTAATTTGTTCTATCACGTATTTGAAAACTAAAGAGGTCAATTAATTGTATGAAGAGATAATTAAATTTTTGAGCTATCAAAGACAAAAAAAGGAATTATGCATTTCTTAGGCCATTCAAGGATTTAAGTGGCTTTATGAAATCTTACTGAAATCGGTATTACTTCCAGACCAATAAGACATTTACTGACTGTCTATTCATTTTCTCTATTAGATGTTACAGGATATTTCAGCTTCTGAGGGGCAGCTTGTTGTCTTTGAATGTCGGGTGAAAGGAGCTCCTTCCCCAAAGGTTGAATGGTATAGAGAAGGAACACTGATAGAAGATTCTCCAGATTTTAGGATATTACAGAAAAGTATGTTTCTTGTGTGGAAATATTGTGTCTAATAAAATACAGGCAAGCAACAAAATTGCTGACATAGCAACACTTTGAGTTTCTTCTTACAGTGGTAAGAACTATATAAGCCATATTTATGGCAATAAATCTGAGTTCCAGAAGCCAAAACTGTGGATTAATTGAACAGCATACTCACAGGCAGCATTCGTCTGAGATTCCCCAAACTATTGAATTGTTTTGCCTCCTGCTTTGATCCCTTTGCCACTTAGCACCACGCTCTAACCAACTGAGCTAACCGGCCTGCTCACTTCAATGTCCTTTTTTAATTCAGCCTTACTTCTGCTGTTTGTTTTTGGTTCTGCACCATTTATGTAGAGATCCAGTGCCCGTAAATCCCTCCTCTTTAAGTGCTATGGGCATGGGCGGTGGATTGCTTATTTATCCACAAAAGTAACCCGATGTACATGTTAGCATGCTTACACATACATGTGTGCACATGATACATGAGAGGTTGTAAACATATACTTCTACTTTAATTTTCAAATGCAGTCAAAACACCCGCAGTTTCCTCATAAGTCACTGAAATGCTAAAATTGCTAAAACTCAATAGAAATTCCTTAAATACAACACTAAATCAAATCTAAATTAAACAATGTTTTATGACAACTTGATTTTATGTGTGTAATAGTTTCAGAGACTGTCTTCAAGACGTAATAAAGTAGTACTAAGGTTCCAAAAAAATACTTCTTGCAGAATTTATTTCCTATTCATAAGTTCTCAGAAGTGTTCATAAGTGCTCATATTGTTCAGTGGATTTGACATACCATTGAGTACAAGGCTTGGCTGTCTCCTCCACCCCTTAAACAGAACATTGCATCACAAGGAGTATTCCGTCATATTAAGAAGAGCAAGCTTCATATCTAGTGCTTTAAAAAAAAAAAACTATTGGCAAAACTAAGTACATTCAACCTACTAATTCTGCTCTTCTTCCCTTTAGAACCACGATCTATGGCTGAACCAGGTGAGGATCATCAAAAGGCTCATACTTTTCTGATTATATAAATGTGGTGATTTAACCTCAGCAAATATTATTTAAACTCCATAATGTAATTAACATTATTTCTTCTTTTCCCCATGTTCTATATCTACTAGTGAGATGCAGACTGTTCCACAAACATATAATTTGAATTAATTCTATCACTTTTGAAGAAAATAATGTTTCCATTCTGCTTTGACCCAGTTCTAACTTAGGACCTAAATGTTACCACCTTATGAGCTAAAGATTAACAGAATTAACATATGAGGGTCCCCCGTATATCTGAGGTTCAGAAGTACACCAGATGATGTAGGACTGAGCTATTTTTATCTAGTTTACCAGTCAGGGAACATTGCATCAGATGTTTAGCCATGTCAGCCATTCCCTTTGCTCCCTACCAGCGTAATACGAGAGTATCACATCAGGTGTTCCACCCCTGATATCAGCAAATCCTAAAAAAGTGGCTGGATTTGCTAATTTCAAGGGTCAGAGCAGAATGTAGGCTACTCTGCATGATTTGAGCAAAGGAGCCTTAGAGATTTTGATTGCTGCTCCATGAGACAATCACTCTCCCTGTTAGGCTCTTCGCTATTAAAAATATAAAGCTGCCCCTCTTAAGACAGAAAATTACCAAAGGAACATTAATTATTATGGAATATAAACTTCCGTAACTCTTCTCCTTGCCCTATTAAAAGTTTTTTACCCCAAACCGTGTGTTGAAAGAGACTCCCTTCTCTCTGCAATGTCTCTTGCTGAGACTTAGGAATGAATAAATGGAGCTTCTACCAGAACCCACTGATGCCGTTCCTTTACTGTCCAGTGGCATCACTGCTGAGTAATGTGAAGCAGTTTTTAGAGGGTAATCAGTTGGGTGCAGTTGTCACTGCCTCATCACCTGCTGCTCATTCAGAAGGAATCTGGATTTCCATGCATGCAGTGGTTGGCAAATCCAAGTACTATAAACTAGATACTATAATGCCTTAAACTAGTTCTATAATCCTAGTACTATAATAAACTATTATTCTCCTATAGTTGTTAGCAAATAATCTCTTTGTTGCTACTAGATTTTCCTCAGTGATGACATGAAACAATCAAGTTTAAGCGGGGCATGGTCTTCTACAGAAATACTCATAAAACATTAATCCTGTAGGGTTTTAGGAAAGTTTCTTGCAAAAGCAAAGCAGTCACTGACTCACTGAAGAAATGGTATGAGCCCACATTTCAATACACTTTAGATGTTACTCTCCCCTCCCATCGCAGCTACCTGGCCAAAGGAAAGATTTAAAATCCCATCACCACAGGTATTTATTAGCTGGTACTGCTGCCTGGACATGTCGGATACTGTTCAGACAGGAATGTCATAACCCCAGACTGACTTTTCAAGATGAAATTTAATTTTTGCCAGTACAATTTGGTAGCACAGGTTTGGTGCCCATTAGTCATCTTCACAAAGAAGTGAAAAGGCAACTTTCTATAAGCACAATTAGCACAATGGCCTCTACCTGCAAATCTGTACTGGTACTTTCGGAAAATGCCAGCCTATATGTGTGTGTGTTGTATTTTTTCACCTTAACCTTGAATTGTTCCCAGTTAATTATAACTAATCTTTCTATCTGCAAAGAGATAAAAATACATATATTTTAGTGAGTTGTGAGTATAGAGTACACTATATTTCTCCAAATTAGATTTTAAGTTCTTCAGAGAGAAAGTCTGTATTTCATGTGATTAGGAAAACATTTTCTAATGTTTTCCAAACGCTGCTGACACCTGTTCTTCACTTTGGGCATGCTGGAGCACAGAGGGTACCAGTTGCTGCAGACAATGCTGATAACAGCTGCTGCACACAAAGGCTGCCAAAATTGATAATACTGATGAAACTAAAATCAAATGGAACACGGTGGAAAACTTTAAGGAAATGTCCCGGAGGGTAGTCAAGGCTTTGTGTTTGTTCAACGCATGTGTTCACTTCAAGGAATAACACTGCTCTGATGCTTTGCAGAGGAAATTTGTACTCTCGTTATTGCTGAAGTATTTTCAGAAGATTCTGGCAGTTTCACCTGTACTGCAAGCAATAAATATGGCACAGTATCTAGTATAGCTCATCTAACTGTCAAAGGTAAGAGTTTATTTTAGTCCTTTGCTTGCTAGTAAATACAAGCAGAGCAGGCTATTGCACTGTACAGTCCAAGCTGCTTATCGAACATACAGATTGCTATGTCTTTTCCAAGTGTCTTTCCCCAATTAGAAATGTGAAGGAGCAAGGAACATTAGGGAATGAATCCCACCCAGCCCTCCCAAAAACACAACTCTTGCTGACCTCAAGATCTGGGCACTCAGCTATTTTTGGAATCTCTACGGACTGTCTAGTTCGCTGTTTCAATAACCCTTTGGTGCAGAGCCCAAAGGAGGAAACCTCAAAACAGATTCCTTCATACTGCCTACATGATTTATGCTGCCAAGGCACTAAGCAGTTGGGTGAGCAAAGTACAGTACATAAAAGCAGAGTGCACTGTTGACTCCAACTCACCTCAAGTTCCAGCAGTGTTCTTCATAACTAAAAAGTTACAGAATGCTCTGAAAAGAAAGTTTGTATTTCAAAGATACTGGTGGAATTCACGGGGACATGGCTGAAGACCACTGCTGGATCTTCCAAACTAGAACTGTGTCTCTTTTTTCCCCTGCCTTTACAATATTCCTTTGTTAAGGGAATTTGTTGTTAAATAAATCAGGTCAAACAACTCAGTCCAACAGCTGGAAGGACATCAGAGTGAGTTTTTCCAACTGTAACTTTTGTGATTTCATTTCACTATAACTTACGGTATTTACATATCACCAGAAGTTTTGTATTTTCTATTTCAGCATCTGAAGACAGTAGTAATGCTGCTACCCTTCACACAATGAGCTCAATCAACTTAATTGCTGCTGAACATCAACCTCCCCCACATACTCCTTCCCATCGTGTAGTAAAACAAACCCCCAAACCTAAGCTTGAAGGTGTTCTTGTAAACCACAACGAACCCAGATCTAGTTCCAAGATAGGTCTCCGTGTGCACTTCAAGCTGCCTGAAGATGATAAAGGAAGGGATTCATCACCAGAGGATGGACCTGGTGCTACAAACCAAATCCGACCCAACTACTTCCAAGACAGGATAAATGGACAGCCAATGAAAATACCAGAGCCGACATCGCCATCCAAGGAACCGCCCCCGGTACTGGCTAAACCAAAGCTGTAAGTAAAAGGGATTCTAAGTCTCATGAGCATCACTGATACTATTTAGTATTCGTAGACCAGGACTCTATTGCACTAGAGCAAAAAACTCAAAACACAGAACAAAAAGACAGTCAGCATCACATGGTGCTGGCCTAATTAACCATACTCTTAGAAAACATATTCTACAGAGCTAAGTATGTTTTTCTGTATATCCCTCTTGGGAAAAGTGCTCTCCAAATTTAAAAGGAAACTGTTTTCCCTTTGAAATTTTATTTAATTCCACAATGTTTTCTGCTGCAAACAAAAGGTGAACAACACTGCTTTTATGCAGGCAAAATAAAAGCAGGTTCTTCAAATATACCTCACTCAATTCTGAGTATGCAATTTTGCCAAAAGCCAGGCATATTCAGTCTTATACATAGTATGGGCTAGCAACTAGCTAGCAACTGTAGTCCCAAAGCCTCATGACTTTTATGTCTCACAAACGTAATCTCCTCCTAAACAGAAAAAGTAGTTGGAAATGTTTGATAATGTGAAACCACTTGAACTAAAAAGCACCTGCATGATTAGTGCACTGTGAGCTCAAGGGGAAATTTTAAGTAGCAGTGTAGTTTTCTTAGAGGAGAATTTATGGAATTCACACTACAGTTTATTAAGAACTATCTTTTCAGCATTTTTGAAACCTCCCAAATCTAGTTTAACAAAAAGCATGCAGAGTCCTTCATTTCATTTCTTAAATAGGCAGAAGCTTAGGCTAAAGGCTCAGGAAGGACTTTATAAAGTAGTTCATTGGTACTCTTCAGCAGGGATGTAATTTCATAGCATAAACACTACAAGTGAGAAGACAGAACTTACATACCATGTAGCAGAGGAAGAACTTGGAGCAGTGGGGTTTTTTTAATTTGTTAAGCCCATATTCACAGCCCCGCTTATTTTCAGAGCCATGGTGTGTTTAAGGGGGGAGCAGAAGCAGCATTTAAGTTGCCCAGTGCTTGCATAAAACAGAATTTCTCTCAAGCCTCCCCCCCCGGCCCCGCCAAACTGTAACAAAGGAGTGCATTATTATGCAGGTGTATATACAAAGGACACAATATCAGGACTGCACAACTTCTAACTCTCTAACATTCTACTTTTTGAAAGCTTGAAATTGCTATCTTTACCTTTAATGTGATTTTGTTATAGTACATTATAGAAACAATAATTCTTTTAAATAAAAAGAAGTTCTGTTGACTTCCTGTATTTGGTTTGTCAGTACCAGTTGTGAATGGTCTCTACTTCTACATTTTTCACTTTTTCACAATAGTCATTGAATACTTGACAATTTATTACACGATCATTTTCCATATCCTTTATGTCCTTTTTGGTTTTGTAAGGAGAAAAGTTAGTCTGTTTTCCATATGCTGTATTTCCATATGCATAATAACTAAATAAACCGCTTGACAAGGCAAAATCATGTTCATTAACTGTGAAGTAAAAAAGCCCTGAAGACACATACTAGTAGGTAGCATCTAGGAAACAACACTTGCATGAAATGCAAGTCCTCTCTGAATGATGCACTCCTGCCTGTCACCGAATGTTGACACCACCTAAACTACATTCGTAATATCTCTTTTGGTGGATTATTACAGACCTTCATTAGCCAAAATGCTGGTTTCAGAACCTACTTTAACAGGAGCTAAAATACTGCAATTTGGCTTACAAACGCTCATTTAAAATCTGATAAGCCAAATCCTACTCTTAGTTACACAAGCAGAGAGGTACTTGGGTGACACGGAGCAGAATTTGACAATGCTATCCCTCAAATATCTTTGAGTAAGATTTATATTTCATGTGTTAAAATGTAAGAATCATCTTCAGTCAAATAATTTTCAGACAAAAAGCTTTGTGCCACTGGCAAAGAAAGGGAGAAGAAGGAAAAGTTTATTTTCGTAGCAAACTAATATTATGCTCTTCTCATAATGTTAGGGAGTATATCACGCAGCAGTTTCGCCTACCTCGTACTGTATCACAGGACATAGAATTTTTCTCTCGCAATTCACATATGGAAATGTAGTCAGTGGTTCAGGGCTCATGACCGATTCTGCTCATCTTTGTTTTACATGCAGGGATCAGACCCAGTTAAAACAGCTCCACAACCAGGTCTTGCTTGAACAACAGCAGGTGCCTCAGACATCTACAAGAGAGTTATCATTCAACACAGCTTTACTGAATTCTGCTACTTCACTCCATCAACAGTCCACCTCAACTATGTACAAACAAAGCAAAGCCTCTGCTTCACAAGCATTCAGCTATACCCGACCTAAGCAGTTCCTGCCATCACAAAGCACACCGCCTACCAGCTCTTCTTCTAGCTCCTCGGTTACAACATTCAGCAACGTCCCTCAAGGAACTCAAAGAACAAATAACAAGGAAAATTTCACAGGAAATCCTCCACCTGCCCAATCAAGGTCTTCAGGAGGGTTTACAAGCAAAAGTGAACAGGGTCTACCAAGCCCTAAAGAATCCATGGTGCCTCCATTAACACTTTCTATATCTAGTGTAAAACACTTCCAGCCGCAGAGTGTGACTCCTGCTCCTATCTCCCCAACTGGCCGGATCCAGAATCCAGTAGCTTTCCTTAGCGCTGTCCTTCCTTCACTTCCTACTGTGCCATCGACCAATGCTATGGGACTGCCCAGAAGTACACCAGCCACGTAAGTAGCATAAACCATATGTGCAGAAGCAGGGGCAAGAAATACCCATAAAAGAAACAAAGATGTATTTCTGGTCAAGGGTTCAGTGGGGAGTTTACTGAAATGCAAGTCATTCATAAAATAGAAAAGTCAGTTAATTCACGTATTCTGGTCATTTCATCTAACCTTTACATTCAGCTAAGAAAGGAAGGGATAGTAGCTTCTATAATAAAGTACATCAAAGGTAAGATAAATTCAAGAGAGAGAAATGGGAGTTTATAAACAGATATGATATACAAGAATTTGGGGGCTCAGAGATTCATAACACTGTACTAGTGGGAGAAAAGAGATTTCATGAGCTTGCAGGATACGCCACTCTAAGACCATTTGCCTGTATGAGCTATAAAAACATTCTTATCTATTCTAAGCAATGAGTAAAGTTTTAAAGGTACCTCATAATGTAAGTTATTTCTAAGTCCAGGTAAATCTAAGAAATAACGTATGTAAAGGTACTTTTCTGGTTGCAATACTTTCTATATTTAAAGTGCCCCAGAAAATCTCAGGAGAGTTAATGTTTTGCACATAAATATTTTAATTGACAGCCAGCATGATTTCTGTGACAAAATACAAGCAAATAAGGATGATGACGTACTGGAAAGGTTGTGCCCTTAAGAGTTCCTTCTTTACTAGTAGAGTTGAAATTAATATCCCTTTGGTGGGCTACATGAACCCTATATTAGCACGGCTAGCACCTGTAGATTGATACAACTTTTTATCTGTAGAACTCCAAATTCTGCACAAAGTAAGGAATATTTCCCCCTTTTACCAATGGTACATTTCAAGGTAGTGATAGCCATCAGTAGTAAATCACAATCTCCTAACTATTTTGCTGATACTACATCAACCAATCTGTAATTATAACAGCCAAAAGCGTCGCTGTATACATAACACCATTCTGCATGCGAAGAAATGCTGCCTTCAAACCGTATCGCACTCCTACTCCCAGACTTCCTAGTCCCCCAGCACAGCCACACGACCACCATCACCCTGTGGCACATGCCTGGAGGCCTCCACGGCCCTGCCACCATGGGCAGGCGCACATATTCAAGTTATAAGGTTCACAGTGAAGGTTTTAACTACACCCAGCTCAAGCCTTTGGCCTGCTTTTACAACATTGCAACAGCAAGCAAAAATTGACTGCAACTACTCATCCTCCCCTTCCTCCCCTTCAGAGCAGGTGCACGAGTGCTCAAGCACTGTTCTCGTTGCATTAACGACACTTAACACTTGCAAAGTGCTTTCCTTTTTCTAACTGTTGTACAGGCTTTATCAAATAAATCCTTACAATATGCCTAACAGGTAGAGTAGTTAATATCGTTTTCTTCATTCCGCCTTTCCTGGGTCCCAGCCCAGAGCTGAATCGCCACATAAATAGAACTCTTCGTGCTGAGATTCAAATCTAGATCGCCACATGGGAGAGAGTCAAAGTGAGGGCACAAAAGATCAGGAAAGAACCTGAGCAAAATCTGTGCTAATCTGTGAATACCTATTGACGTTTCAGCTTCCTTTTTTGGCATTATCAATTACAATAATTCTGGTTACAAAAGCAGTGAGAGATCACCATGTCTGCAGAACAACAAAAGGAAGATACCTTGCACAGCAATCATTAGTTATGCCTTTTACCTAGACCCCCTGTTATTAAGATGCCAACTCCTCGTAAACTACTAGAACATTGCACACCCTCTAGTAGTGTGCGGCTGCTGTGCTTCAGCAGTGCACTTTCACAGTCTCCCGACAGTCTTACTTACAAATTTAACTATTTTCAAACCTTACTAAAATGAAACAGACTACATCTATAAAATAAAAATAAAAATAAAAAT